GCTGTACAAGCAATGCAATGCGTCCACGCTCGTTCCATTTTGGTCGTAAGGGCATCTTCAATAGCTGTAAGATAGATGTTGCTAAATTTGTCACCTACAACATAATGATGATGTGGCATGTAATAAATGTCGAGAGAGCAAAATTGTATGTAGAATAACCAACAACCTTTGCACAAGCTCCAAGATGAAATAAAGAGCAATCATATTTATTTTCTTATCATCTATTGGATAGCTTAAATATAATCTATTGAAGTAGTTGTATGACAGCTTGTCAGTTGATGACATGGACATTTTATCAACAAAACTAACATACAATCTATTGGATATGCCCTAACCCAACGGATAGCGATCAGCGTTGCCCAGTCAGCATGACGCCATGGGCACTGACGTCGGTGAAGACACGGAGGCAACGCTGCATGCATTTACTCACACCGCCAACGCCCAGCAGCAGCATTATCGCTTGCGATCGATCCAGATGCATTGCACTTGCTGCTGGAGTACTAGTAGTAGTGGAGTATAAATGAAGAACAAGGCCCAGCATGAACAATCTTCATCCGTTTTCATTTACATTCGTCCCTGGAGAGCACGAAAGCCAACACGAGCAAGATGTCGTTCTGCCTTCCACTGAGCTGCAGGAGGACTGTCTTCCCCAGGCCAGCACCCTTAATTATTTCCTTTTTTCTCTCATAATAATTACACACAATACACAATCAACATCTTCTTCTTCTCTTTCAAAAAAAACACCTTCTTCTTCTCAACCAGGACAATGAGCAGCATGGATCACCATGACACCGCCGATCCATTCTCCGACTACGACCAACCTGCTGGGTCCATGGATGGCGACGACATGTCCTCTCTAAAAGAGCTCACCGATGGCTTCTCCGATGAACGCACCCTCGGTACCGGTGCCTACGGCAAAGTTTACATGGTACGTACGTAGGATCCACTGATTCGTTAAACACATATGGCTGCATATGTATATATGTACGCATGGTCTTGTACCGAATCTAGCTAGCTGCTACTACCTCATGACAACTTTTACTAATTTTATCCTAGATGAAGCAGTTAAGGATTACTTTTGGGCTTTTTTTAGCTAAAGGTAGCATTTTGCCTTTTTCTTTCTTTATTTCTAGAAAGTAAGCAAGGTTTACACCTATCTATACACCCAGTAGAAACTCCATCGTTTTTTTTTCTCCCTGAGGAAAAAAATACTGAATATCGCTTATTCATTAAACACACCAAACTATTGAACCATGTGAAATGTTGAACTTATAGGGTGTACATGAATATGGGAAGAAGATTGCTGTCAAGATGTTCCACGACGACACGCCAACACATGTTGATGGTGGTCATGAGCAGTTTCAGAAGGTGTTCAGCAACCTTCAGAGGCTCCGACACCAGAACATCGTGAAGATGCTTGGGTACTGCTATGAAACTCAGCAAAAACACATGGAGTACGACATGAGAAAATTTTTGAGTGAAAAGACACAGAGAGCGCTCTGTTCCGAGTATATGCACAACGGAGAGCTTGACAAGTATCTTCTTTATGGTATGATTGTGCTCTATTACTTTTAACATATACTCCCTCCATCCCCAATTACTTGTCAGGTAATGTCTAGAAATGAATGTATCTAGATGTATTTCCGCGACAAGTAATTCTGGACGGAGGGATCCGTTCTATTCATTTCCACGGCAAGTAATTCCGGACGGAGAGAGTAGTTATGTTTCTTATTTTCCATGCATGAATCATCTTTATATATGTTTTTCACACAAATGTACAGTAATCCCTTGGCTGGTGCTGGGTTAATCGCACCAATGTTTGTGGCTTTTTTCTGAAAACGTACAAAGTAGCTTAATCTTGCGAACTTTTCAAAAGGAAAAATTGATTATGCTCTAACTGTTGATTAGGAATTCTCCTTTTTTTTATTTAACTGCTACAGATAAATACAAAGGAGATACTTGGCAGACATGCTACGCAATAATTAAGGGGATTTGCAAGGGTTTGAAATACCTTCACGAGGACTTGGAATCTCCTATTTATCATTTGGATCTAAAGCCATCCAATGTGTTGCTGGATGAGAAGTTTGTGCCGAAGCTTGCGGATTACGGATTGTCAAGGCTATCTGGAGATGAGCAGACACAAATCATGAAATGTTCTATGGGAACAATGTAAGACTAATTGCTCGTTTGTGAATTTAAATTTCACGTAACCTAGTAACTATGTTCTCATTAAATGCACGGTGTCGGTAATATCATATATGTTATGTCATGCAGTGGGTACGTGCCACCAGAATACATAGATGAGAATGTAATCTCAAATAAATTCGACATATTCAGCTTGGGGGCTATCATCATAAAGATACTTGCAGGACCGACGAGCTACTCAAAACGTGCCGAGATGTCCACCCAGCAATTCGTTGAGCTTGTAATAGAAAATGATCCCTTTCTTGAGATCAATTATACATCCTTCACAAATAATAATTCTTTTATACAATGGTAATTTCTATTGTGTAAATTTGCAGGTACATGGAAATTGGAGGGATAAGCTCCATGCTACATCAACATATGCATTGGAGGTATATTCTGAGCAAGTAAGGAGCTGCATAGAAATAGCTTTAAGTTGTGTAGAGGCTGACCAATGCAAAAGGCCGAGCATTGGAGAAATCGTTGATAAGTTAATTCAGACGGAGACTGCGATTAACAAAATGACCCAATCACCAGGAACATCAATGGATCAGGTGTGGTCCTTTATGACACAACTTTTTACTATGCATTTCATCTATTTCATTTTCCCCGTCAAATAAAATTAAAAGCATAATTTAAACATATAGCTGGTGCATCATGTTGGGATATATTATGTAGATGGGCTCCTGCTTGCTGGATGCATCTGAAAAGATAGGAAGAGAGTTGTTAGGTGTCCATCCCCTCCAGCTCCGATTCCCCTTTGAACCGAACAAGTTGATCCCCTGCCAACTTAATCTAACGAACAACTCGGATGAGTATGTCGACTTTAGGTGTGTCCCAAAAAACCCCAAGAGTTTCTTGAATGGACTGTCGCGGCTCCATGGAAGCATGCTGCCAAACACCAGTTGCATATACGTTGTAACGATGGAAAAGCACCAGCAACCACCTGCAAACATGGTCACTCTTGATGTTATCCTAGAGAGCTGGGTAGGATATAGATACACGTGTGGGTGGGGCATGGATGACTACTTCTCTACGGGGTCACAAGAGGATCTGAGCGGCTGTCCGGTGCAAAAGGTAACACTGAAGGCTGTTTGTGAGCCAGCAAGCAAGATGATGGCATCTGAGGTTAGCCATATTGTTCTTCTATATGCAAATTAACCAATCTCAGCTTAAGATGATGCATATTCAATTATGTGATATTTCTTTGTTATTTTCTTGTCTTGTCAACGGCCTGTTGGTGCTATTCATTACCTGACAGCCAATCAAACCAAGAATGAAAGTGAGGACTTATTTTCTCCTACGTGTACATATTTCTTAATTATTTTCACTGGACTGTTTTAAGAAAACTATTTGCTTAGGTCATGTACTGCAGGGATGGCACTTTGTCGGAAATACTATCGATGGATGTGCATCCAACGAAGCCTTGGTGAGTTTATGCTTCCAACAGTATTCATTGGAAGGATCACACCATATGAATTATAAATAACTTCCACCAACTTATAAATCATAAAGTCATGACTTTGATCGTAGAGGTTACTTTCCGGGTTGTGATATATATCAAATTAAAAATTGACACGTAGTGGTAAGTGGAAAACACAAGTAAAAGTTCATGAAAGCTTGCTGGTAATTAATTGATTTTCCTCTCGCAAAAAAGAATTATTGTTTTCTACTTGTAACTATCCTCTTGTATCACGACAGGATTTTGGCAGCTCATGGAAGTGGGCATGTATCCATTTGGAACTATGAGACACAGGTCGATTCAGAACACATGCCATCATAGTCACAAAAAATATATGCATGTTGTTGTTTTTGAAGAGTGAGTTTGACTGTAGGAATCTATCTATCGTTAAGAGGCGATTCTAACTTGTTTGCAGGAGAGAGTGATGTCGCTGAGACCTGTAAAGGAGCCAGCACCATGTGCTGGAGACCATTGGATGCTTTCTGCTAAATTCATCGCGCGGGAGGAATGGTTCGTGGCCGGCGATGGATACGGTTACATCCACGTGCTCTCATCTGCGATGATGGATGAGATCACGCAGTTCAAAGCTCACACGGGCTGGGTCGAATCGCTGGCCATTCACCCGAGTCACCCGCTTGTGCTATCGGCATCCAACGACAGCTTAATCAAGCTATGGAACTGGGAAACTGACTGGTCATGCATTCAGATATTCGAAGCGCACTCACGCAATGTGCAGCAAATCAAGTTTAACCCGCTGGATGGCAACACTTTCGCAAGTGCTTCAAAAGATGGCACAACAAAGGTACAAAAGAACAAAAAAGGCTCATTTCTCTATCTGTATCCATGAAATTTTCTATTTCTATCTTTATTAATAGTGCAATAGCACCTAAATTTACCAGATCTGGTGTTGTTCTTCTCCCATTCCTATCGCTACGTTGGACTGTGATGGTGGGCTGATATGTGTTGATTATTTTTCCCCCGGTGGTGATCGACAATATGTGGTTACCGGATCCGATAATGGGGTTGCACAGGTATGGCATTTTTATTATTCGACAATTATATTTAGTTACATAAAATATATTGATGTATTACATATGCTTCATTTTTTTTGTACTAGATTTGGGATTTGCAGACAAAGAAATGTATCCAAGAACTCAAGGGACTCCAACATATGTCTGGCGTCAATGTTGGTGTGATCGACGGCATGCAAGGGCATCCTGTTCTAATAACATCTTGAGATGAATATGCTATTTCTTTGCGCAACTACAACACCTATGGGTAACGCTTCTGATTTTGTAATGATAAAATGGCGGGTAGCTCTAGCCACTTTAGCCTCCCACAAAAGCTACCAATGACTCTTACATCCCTGGCTGGCATCGCCTTGTTTTACGGTGATTGGGTTAGTACTCGGAGTACTTAGCAGTACTTACATGTCTGATCACGTCTGATTTTTATTAGCCGTCAGATCTTGCGGGGAATTTTAATTGATTAAATTTAATATGTTAATTGCGATAAGGGCATAATGGTCCAGGGGGAAATATATTTTCTTGAACCGATCACCTGAGGACCAGATCCATGTCTACTCGATCCAGTTCAGAATCCTTCTCCGATCTATTCGTCGCCGCTCGCCGCTCCTGACCTTCTCCGTCCTCGACCTGCCCGGCGAGAGGAATAAATTCACCGTCCTCGTCCTCCACCCAACCAACCCCAGCCCCCCACGCCGTCACCGAAGAAGAAGAAGGCCGGATCTGCGCCGGCTGAATCGGCGGCGACCACGGCGGGCGATCCCATCTCTTCGCACGTACCATCCTTAAGGTATGAATTCGGCTTGGCGTTCTGCTCGTTCTCTTGGCCGTTGCGCCCCTCCACCGTGCATGCAGTACAACCTCAACCCCACAAGATCCGGGTACGGACTAGAACAACGAATGGAAAGCTTCATCGTGGCATAGTTTCTCTTGAGCTAATCGCATCATGTTTGTTTAAGTAAGATGTTGACGTTTGAGATGAGATATACTAAAGGAAGATGATTGGTTTCCCTCACATGTCAAACCAGCAAAGTCTTTTCCATGCACTTGTCTTTGCCTATGAGCTATTTTACACCTGCAACATTGATAAACAGAAAGATGTTGATGATTGGTTTCCCTCACATGTCATATGCAGGAAGACATGGCGTATGCAAGTGATGAGAGTATGTTCGAGTATGTAAATGTTGTCAGCAAGATGTTTGATAGTGAGGCTGAAGGCTATGAATTCTACAACAAATATGCTCTTGAAAAAGGTTTTAGTGTGAGGAAAAGCTACGTTGAGTGGGATGGATACAACAAATACATAATTTTAAGGAAAATTGTGTGTAGTCGTCAAGGGTTTCGCGAAGATAAGCACATGAAAAGAAAGATGGAAGATAGAAAGAGGAGGCCACGAAGTTTAACTCGTGTTGGGTGTAATGCTAAATTGGTCATTACGAGACAGGAGGAAACCGGTCGGTGGTTTGTCAAGGATTTCATCGATGAGCACAGCCATCCTCTAGCCCCACGGGATCTTTCTTGTCTGTTGCGTTCGCACAGACAAATTAGCGATGAGCAGAAAGCGGACATTGCGGACATGGAAAAATGTGGGATCCACAAATACCGTATTATGGATATTTTGTGCTTTCAATACGATGGATTTGATAAGGTTGGATGCATGAAGAGGGACATTTATAATTTCTGCCATTCTAATAAGCAGGAGACAATCAGTGCCGGTGATGCTAAAACGGTGATCATGCACATGATGGCGAGGCGAGAGCGAGATGTGGATTTTTTCTTCAAGTACTTGGTAGACAAGCATGGCCATCTGAAGGGACTGTTCTGGGCTGATAGTCAATCGCGACTTGACTACGAGGCTTTCGGAGACGTCATTGTTTTCGATAGCACATACAGAACCAACAAATACAATCTGCCATTCGTGCCTTTTGTCGGGTTGAATCACCACCGCAGCATTGTTATATTTGGCTGTGGTATAATTTCTCATGAAACAAGCCAGGCATACGAGTGGATGTTGCGGACCTTTTCTGATTGCATGGCACAGAAGCATCCGATATCTGTGATCACAGATGGGGACCTTGCAATGCAGAGAGCAATAAGAGTGGTCTGGCCAGACTCAAACCATAGACTATGTATATGGCACATTCAGCAGAACATTGTACGCCATCTGCATGATGACGACGTAAAGGAGGAATTCAGATCTTTCATTTATGATACTTCTTCCATTGAAGAGCATGAGATAAAATGGATACAATTCTTACAACGGAATAAAGTAACCAGTGAGGAGTCTTGGCTGCATCAGATGTATCAGATGAGAAAGTTGTGGTGTGCTCCATATCTTGAGGGGCGTTGTTTCCTAGGATTGAGCAGCAATCAGAGGAGTGAGAGCTTGAACTCTGTGCTACATATGCATCTTGATGGTAAGATGTCATTGTTTGAAATTCTAGAGCACTATGAGCGTTGCCTTGCGTCGCGACGGATTAACGAATCTCTCCATGACGTCGAAGCCTTGCAGTCTGTTCCATTTACAGAGGAAAATGCTTCGCCGCTTGAGAAACATGTCGCAACAGTTTTCACACCTAGTGTCTTTAAGATAGTCTTATGGAGCATAGATGCTGTCAGCAAATGTCAGATTAGAGAGATACTAGATGGATCAGAAGATTCCACTTATGTTGTGTCCAAGCAGGAAAGAATGGATAAAAAGTTTGGAGTGCGCATTGAAGAGCAAGGAGGTCTTTTGCACAGGGTGAGTTGTTCTTGCCGTAAGCTGGAATGCGCAGGCACACCATGTTCCCATATTTTTTACATATTGGGGATTTTAAAACAAACAATTTTGCCCGGTTGTTGCGTTCCCACTAGGTGGACTATGAATGCAAAATGTGCATACGCACCTACCAGAAAAAACCAGATGTATGACTATTCGGTAAGCCTGCAGAGGTACCGCGAGTTGCGCAATTGTAGTCACACCGCAAGTTTCCAGGCATGCCACTCTGATGGGGATTATCACCGTCTAAAGATGCTTTTGCAAGCACAACATCATGGCAAGCAATCAAGTTTTGAACAAGCTGACAGCAAGGAGTCAACTAATGCTCAGCATAACAGCATTAGGTTTGGCCCGTTGATGCCGCACTCGCAGAAAGTTGATAAGGTTCTGGATCCCGTGCATGTGCCAAGACGAGGTGCACCGAAGAAAAGGCTGCAGGCAAAGACAAAGAAGTCAAGATCACAGAATATCTGTGGCTATTGCAAGAAACCAGGTCACAATCGACGTAAATGCGCTAAATTGCTAGAGGTACGAAATATGTTCATATTTTTTTTGCATGTGTTTTACTCATAATTGATGTCCATGTGATTTATTGTATTCTTCTGTGTAGGATCTCGAGGCTGAACTGTGATATCTACATACAGCATGAACCGACGATGAGCCAGAGAAAGTCGTGTGCCATTCAGCTTTGTGTGACGTGGTCTTTACATTCTATTTCATCGTGACAGTAATTTAGTGAAGTGCGGTTGTACTACCATGTTACTGTATTAGTTCGACATCTTTCGTTTCCATTTTCTGTGTGTATCATTTGATGTCCAACTTTCAGAATGATGATGTATTTCGACAAATTGGGCACTATGATTCTTCACCCTTACTATGGTTGTCATGCATATTCATAATCATCATGCATATTCTTCATTTACAGAGCAATAATGACTGACATATTTTTTAAATAAGCGGGGCCCACTAGGGTGTGCTTGGAAATCTTTGAAAAACCTCCATGCACGTTCATCTTTGCTGCATGCAAATCGGGCGGCAGCCACTGTGCCAGTAGCTGTCAAGGCCTTGATGAATCACTATTCACATGCAGGTCCCCGACTCTTGCATGCAGGTCCCCGACTCTTGCATGTAGGTCCCCGAGTCTTGCATGCAGGTCCCCGACTCTTGCATGCAGGTCCCCTTGAGGCATAGACCGATGTTTTCAGCAGTCAGTCTAGAGGGCATTATAAATTCAAAAAAAATCAAAAAAATACAAAAACTTGGAAACCTAGTTTTTTTTGTGGAAGAGATCATGTGTGCCAAAACTGAGGTGATTTGGAGGTGGTCGAAAAAATGCCCGCATTCCCGGAGGGACCATTGCCAGTTTTTAAAAAAACGTGACTTTTTCCACCACCTCCAAATCACCCAAATTTTCTTGTACATGGTGACCCACATGTGCAAAACATGTGTATGCAAGAAAATTTTGAAAAAAAATTATTTTACAATGCCCCCTTGAGGCATAGACCGATGTTTTCAGCAGTCAGTCTAGAGGGCATTATAAATTCAAAAAAATT